CGCCCCTCCCCCCGAGCGGCCGCAGCTCGGGGCGTGCCCGCGGCCGGGGGAGGAGGGGAGCCGCCCGCCCTCCCGCTGCTTGGAGCTGCGCTCATGTGATCAGCTTCGCTACTGAGCGGACGTGTGAGAGGACGAGGTGGCGAGCAGCACAGGTGAGACGAGAGCCCGCAGGGATGCCGGGAGGGCTGGTGAGTGGGCAGGCCCCCAGGGCCGGGGAGAAGCCCGCTCCGGATGACCCCAGGCAGGGCAGTGCGCGCAGCCAGGCTGGTGCCCGCGCGAGCCCGGAGATGTGTCACCCGCGGCTGCTCTGCCAGGCCGAGGCCCCAACGTGCTGGAAGGAAGAGGGTTAGGTACATGGCACAGGCAGTCCCCCACCCACCTGTGGCTGAGGGTGCCTTTCAGCCCCTGACCGGTCAGAAGAAGGAAACGGCTGGCTTCCTTTTCATGCTGAATTGCTTTGCTTCTCTAGAGAGTAGTTTCCCTGTAGGCTGAGCTGAAGGCAGGGCAGGTCTTGGGTTGATGCGCAGGTAACTTCCTTTTTGCTGCAGCGTTAAAAGATTTAACTGGTTTAGAAAGCGAATGTGCATCGGGGAGATTGCTTTTCCAAATAGTGTCCTGCCTACTTCTGTACGCAGGTTCCTATGCAGAACTTTTGGCAGAGGCGATGCCTTTTATGAAACCAACTAAGTTGTAAAAAAAGCAAAAAAAAACTTCATTTACAAGCTTTTGGGCAAAAAAAGAAAAAAAATGACAACTATTTTGTTGGTCTAATAAAAGATATCACCTCTGCCAAAAGTTCTGCATATTTTAGCCTGTAGACCAACACACCTAGCACCGGTATCCCTGTACATTCCTATTGTCTTCCAGAGGCAAGGATTTCTTAGGGCAAAATCCTCTGGTGTCATTTCTGGGCCATCACAGCTACAACATCACTCTGGCAGCATCGTCTTTGAGGTGTATGTGGACTAGGAGTTAATCTGCAACACCCTATAAACCGACCAAGCTGCTATCTCCTATTACTGTTAACACAAATCAATTATCTACTCCACTCCCAGTGGTGTGGAAAATGTCCTCAGTTGACTGCTCACTGTGACTGTCAGTTCAGGAGTTGGCTTTAAAAAAAAGAAAAGAAAAAAAGATTCTCAATATTACAGAGTGGTCTAATTCCCAGTGAAAAGTAGTTGCGGCGTGAACTGGAAAGTTGAGCTTTCGAAGACCAAAACTGGTCTGGATTTGTCCAGGCACCAGCCACAGGTGATTTGTGTAACTCAGGTCTGGTCCTGGAAGCTGCCAAGTGCCTTTAAAATTCTTCTGACTTTTCAGGAGGAGTTGAGGACACAGGTTAAAGACTAGGCACTTTCCTTGCCCTTCTGTCCGGTTAAGTGCAAGTGAGATTAAGAACCTCTTGGGGGGGGGGGGGGGGGG